CTATCTGTTTAGAAACCATCCTCACTCACTACTGTCGTGCTACTCTTTTACTCTTATTTGACAGAGGTTGACAACTTGAGTTTTTCTTGCAGGTTAAAAACATTTCTTTGTAAAGGTAGATCTCGAAACACAACAAAGCATGTCGGAAAATAGAGAAGAAATCTTAGCAGACTTTCAGGTATGGTCTTTTACTAGTTATATATGTGACTTTGATAATACTCAGGTTAGAAGGATGACAAACAGTATTTATGATTATTATTTTTTGTTTCCAGGCATGTACTGGTATTGAAGACGTCGCCGAAGCTATATATCACCTTGATGAGACGAACTGGGACCTTTTGGTAGGCTCAATAGTAATATTTTCATATATAAAGTCTAATAACATTAACTTATAGCGAGCAGTTAGCAGAGTCATGCCGCCTGACACCCAGTCTTTTCAACCAAGATCTGATCCTGATGTTATGGTAGTAGAAGATGATGGTAATCTTTCATCAGTGCCCTTAGAACAGGCAACAGATATGATGGAAGTTGGAAATAATGTTGGACATCCACGGCCAAAGAAGCCCTCTCCCGAAAACAGTATCCGCAATCAAGACAGTTATCCCTCAACTTCAGGTAGTAGTGGAAATGAAAGAATGCTCAAATTTAACATCACGTACTGTGATAGGGTGATCAAAATCGAATTACCAGAGAGTGGTACAGTCAGTAAGTATATTTCTGTTTTAGTATATTAAATAATATAAAATAATGTAATGTAATATTTAATGTAATGTAGAGTAATTCTATAGAAGAAGTAATGATATACTTTTAGATGATTTAAAAATAAGACTGCAAAAAGAATTAAAAATTGCTCCCTGTAGACAGTTGCTATCGAACTGGGCAAGGTTGGTTCAGTATGAAAACACACCTTTTTCAAAATTAAAATTACCAGATGAGAACTCTCTCCATCTAACAATAAAACAAAATGACGGAGGTTTTACAGCTGATGATGAGTAAGTACAGATTTACTGAAACAATATTATTTTGTGTTTTAATAATTCAATAATTATAGAAACTCTGTAACGGAAAAGTTAAGTGGCACATACACTCTCAATATCAAATTTGAAGGTAAAACCTATAACCTCAAATATCAGGGTACCAAAACAATCTTGGAGGTAAAGGGTGATTTTTATACTTTAACAAATGTTCATGTCCGAAATCAAATCTGGAGTGGGTGGCCCCCCAATATAGATGATAACACTGTGTTAGCCCTATCAGGGATAAAGTAAGTTTATTTATTTATTATACAGTTTTGTTGGTATTTGCTTCATATTTTTGTCCATAGTTATCCTGAACATGATTTGACAGTACGCCGAAACTTACAAGCTAATCATAACAAAGAAAAGAAGAATTTACAAATAGTTCAGATAGATAGTGATGATGACGAGTTTGAGGATGCATCGGAAAGTTTTACTGTAGATGATGACTATTTTGTTGACAATGATGTTACTACAAAAAGAACTGAACCATTGAGTGAGTATTATAAAGTTTTAACAAGCATTTAGATTTATTCCATTTAACAAATATTTGTATACAGTCTGTACTATTGTCTAGTCCTAACTTAACAATAAATTTTTCTTATACTACCTTAGCTTGTGATCTCAGAAAATTTTATGCTAAAATAATAAGCTACTATTAATATAGGATTCCAAAAGCTTTCTCACTGAGATAATTCCTCACCTGCTAGAAAATCTTGTAGACAGTTAAATTGTGCATTAAATGTGGTGAAAGTCGGCCCAATCGGTTGTAAATTTGGTATTTGGTGAGTTTTGAAAGTTTTGAGGTCTAATGTTATCTCGTCGATGAAGATCTAAACAAAAACTCACTGCGGGAAAAAAGTCGTTTTCTTGGACATCTTGTTCAAATGTATACCCCCTTCCGTATCCAAACAGTAATTTTTCATAATCTCATTTTAAGGTTAAAGTTACCTGTAGGATCCCAGTCTTTGTACATTTCCTCCCGAGACACTGTATAAACACTTGTTTGTACTTGAAGTTCTCCCTTTTGAGATACATGATGCTGAAGTTTTGAAAGCTGTTATATTTCTAAATACCTTCTGAACAAATGAAAATATTGGTATAACATTTTCTGTGCATACTACATAAATAAAATTGTATTCAACATAAAAAAATTAAGTTTCAATTCATATGTTTTGTCATTTTTAAAATGCAAATTTAGAAAGATGAGATTTCTTGATTCTTTTTGCATAGATTGTACTGTTTTGAGAAATTTATGAAAATGATTTAGAGGACCCCGAACAAACCTTATGGGAAATTGTTCCCGGTTAAATTGGCTGAATTTTTTATATGTTACGTATCTCAGCGTCCTGAACAAATGTCTTCATGGGCGCAAAATCCAAAACTCCATGGATTCCGAAATAAACCTACCTAACCCCTAGAAACCACCCCTACCAAACCACAAGCAGACCCTGGGAACAGCGAGTTTAGTAGATTATTTTTCTTGAAATAATTAAATTCCACACCACAAGGGGGCTAACCCGCCTACCCCCTAACCCACGTAGTCCTTAGAAACCACCCCTACACACACAAGTACACACAAGTATCCAGCTAATAAAAGAATGTACAAAAATATTTAAAACAAAAGAATATGTGGGAAGTCATATCAAAAAGTAATTTGAACACATATTGTTTACATTTTACACTTTTCTGAAAATATCATTCTCATAAGTAGCTGATTTGTACCAAAATAATAAAAGTTATACAATCATATCATTTTTGTTCAAAATAAAATTAGCACTTCAAATATGATTAAAAAATATATATTATATATTATATTTTTTGATATTGAATATCATCTTTATCATGTATTATGCAAAAAATTTCATTTCAATATTTTTATTTGTTCAGAAAATATTTAGAATATTTAGACATTTGTAAACGTCAATATCCTGTATTTCAAAAACAAAGTCTTCAAGAAATGTTTATATAAGAGAATATTTCTAAATGTGGAAGAGCAAAAACTTCTTCATTATATTGTTACACCCTTTGTTTAGTTCCAGATAACATTGAGGATGAAATTGTCGGAAGCATAACATTTGCTGAAAATTTTACAACACGCTATGGCCACATACATCCTGCTTTCTACCAGGGTACTCTTGAAGATGCCATTAAGGAAGCCTGCGCCAAACCTGCTAAAGATGTATGATTGATTTACTTTATTATCTAAAAATAATTTTTAATTTTAGACAAAAATATGAATTGTCAAGTTATTTGTTTCGATTTAAGTTTTTATACCTCAACAACTTAAAAATCGATCAATGCAAAATTTTAAATAAGCAAATTTTTTTCATGAGGCTTCAATCGTATTTTTAGCAAATTGTGGATTACATTATTAATTTTTAAATGACTGTTTTGAGTATTTTAAAAGGAATTTGCAAAGCCCAATATATTGGGTGTCCGGTAAATAATGGATAACCTTTTAACCGTGGATGGGGGACCCTAAGGTCATCCAGAAAATCGACTTTTGTCTTATTACAGAGTCCCTTCGTTTTTCAGTTATTTCGATTTTTTTTTCGAAATTTCCGCCATAGGTTACTTTATTGGTCACTATGGTCATAAGAGAACGTATTATCTTTCAGTTATTATTTGATTTTATTTAAAAGTTACAGTAAATGTTCAAATTGTCTGCCGCCTTCACTTATGCAGGCTCTGCACCTTCTTTTGAATGTCCTTCGGAGCCTTCGTTTGTATCTTCGCTAACTAACGTAAAATTTAAGTGTAAGATTTTTTTAAACATGAACAACTATTGCTAGTTAAAAATTCTGATAAGTATCTGATAATAACACAATTCAAGAATATTACGCAAAATAACTGAAAGATAAAATGTTCTCTTGTGGCCGTAGTGACCTATGGCGCAAATGTCGAAAAAGAAACCAAAATAACTGAAAAACGAAGGGACTTTGTACTAAGACAAAAGTCGATTTTCCATTATTTACCGGATACCCTGTATAGGGGAAAGAAATGTTTCAATTTTTTTTCTCAATTTTAAGACACATTAAAATGATCCTATGGTGTTAACTTTTAGTGTGTTTGGTATTGTGATTAGATCGCTTGAAGGTCACAAAAATTTTTTTTTTAGCATTAAAAAGCGCACAATGTGCACTCTACGGAATTCGTTTAAATATTTTCATGCTCAATAAGCTCAGCGTTTAAAGTTGTAAGTCCTGTATAGATACAGGGTGTAGTGCCAAAATCCAGACAAATTAATCATTTTTTTCCAAACATTTTTTTATTGCAAAAATGACAAAGTTTACAAAATTTTATTACAAAATTGCATGGTCATACAGAACACATTTACTCAATATATCCCCCACTTGCTTGAATGCCCACGTCCAATTTCAGTCTGATGCATTTGCTGGCCCGATTTAATGCTCCACGGTTCATATCGGCAAATGCTGCTTCAATATCCTTACAAATACAATTTTGTAAAGAAAAAAATCAAAAAAGGCAGTTTGAAAATGATTTAAAAATACACTTCTGCACGGCACTGAAAACTAGTCCACTGTAAAACCTGACTTAATAAAGTTGTTCTCAAAATTAAGTTATTTAGAGCATTGCACCGACGGATCATAAACTATACTTCGCAAAGTACGTCTATGTATTGGCAACAACGCAGAAATCTAGTAACTTTCATTACTTTATGTTAGGTATTTTAGTTCTTTCTGATTTTCTTCAGTTTCTTACATGGACTTATGAAAAATTAGGTTAGGTTAGATTTCGGTGTTCGGTGTGTTGTATCATGTCTATGGTGTTTGTTGTAAATGTAATATACAATAATATATGGTTCTTGTTGATATTGACCAAAAGACTAGTTATCAGAGATAAAATAATAATTTCCTCCAGATTACTGTCGTCGGCCTGTTTCAGATGTTAAAATATCCAGTATTTCGCGCATGAACACTGACCACTTTATTTGCACTTCCCGCGTTTTTTTCTTCGAAATTTTAGTGTTTTGTGCACACTCCAAGTCTGTTTAAATAAAGAACTTCATAAGTCGCTGTCAAACTGAGGCTTAAATTTAAGAATCTGTTTCCATACTTAACAAGATCTTAACATATGGTGCAATACAAAAAGCTTACTTAATGATTTCTTATTTTTAAGTAATGCTTATTAACTTCGGTGCAAACAGGCATAAATAATAAAATAATTTGATATACCTGATGTTACAACAACTTCTAAATTTTATCCACCGACGTGGTGTAAACACATTTGGGTCCATCTTACTCAGTTTCTACGAACTAACACAAGTGTTGTCTTGCTTCACCATAACACAAATGCTTCAACATAATACAAATGTTGTCTTGCTTCACCATAAATTAAAACGATATCAATCAACTCCGAGTTGCTATACACGCAAGCCATTTTTGACACTAACTACTAAAAAACTATTGTAAACACCACATATAACAGGTAAACACTATCGGAATTGCTGGGTCCACGTGGCTTTCCACGTGTATTGCGAATGATGCTAGAGACTACAGTTGTTCGGCTATGTAATAGTTGAATGTACTACAACTTCAATAATTTTTTTCTTGGAAACTATAAGGATTTTACAAAAATATTTTTACAATATTGACTCCATTTCTCATACCGCATCTATTCCCAAATTTTTTTGGATAAGTTGTGAATCACCCTGTATATGTGTATGTGAAGCGACTTCGGAAGATGATTGAGTAAAGAGAAATATAAAAATAAATTTTATGTGGTGTCCAACTTTCTAAACATCACCACTACTCATGTGCATGAATCGTGGATGACACGAATCATTCAGTTATTAGATGAATATTTGTTCGGGGATCACGTTGTTAAAGCTTTGACATTGCTTGCTCTACATTGTGAAGTAATGAACAAACACACTATTTGTTAAATAAATTTTCTTTATAAAGACTGAAAGACTGAAAGACTGAAAACTTTGCATATAATCTTAATTCAAACTGCCAGTCACAATTTTGAAATTGTTTATTGTGAGATTGAGATGTAGATAGTTGTACCAAGTTCATGTTTCGAATTTGATAAATGTCAAGTACTCTCTTTATAGTAATTCTTAGCCCAAAATTATTATTTTATTCCAATTGATACAGCAGGGGTACTCGTCTTACTTAGTTACAGAAGATCCGACTATTAATGCTGGTTCAAGTTAGACAGAATGCCAATATATTTGCAGAATCGCAAAAATAGTGTTTGTACGTAATTTTTTTGTTCATATGAGAAACAAACATTACAAAAAAATGTTTTCCAAATTTTATTCAGTATCATGTCAATTACATGGTGTCCCATTTTAAATAACGCGTTGCAATATCGGTTGATAGCCGCACGGTTTAAGGCGTCAGTCCTTAAATCGATGTGTCGAACTGCCCGGGTTTCGAATCCCGCGGCCGGTGACCGTAGATTATCTATACTTGTACGGAGGATTGGCGCCCTCTGTGCAGGTATGGTAGGGTGGAAGAATGTTGGCTTGGGTCAATGTGAGAGATTGACACCGGTTGGCATTTGACCACCCCCCTAATTAATGAGGTTTTCCAGGTTTCCCTCATTCCTGCACTGAATGGTGGTTAGGGCCTACCAACATAAGTCGTTCCTGGGCGCAAATGCGGCCTGCGTAATAATAATATGCCGCCTCCTCTCCCGCACAAGTCTCCGACTTCTGGGCTAATTCTCGNATTATTATTATTATTATTATTAATATCTTCTTAGGGACATACTTTCAAGTAAAACTTTTTAGACAAAAGTTGTAGGGTTCTGACGGGGACCTTGACCTTGACACAAAGGTCAATCGTAGAGGTCATTTGAAAGTCAACTTGGGTTTTTAGATAGATGTATTTCTGACACCGGAAATGAATAGAACGGGAAATTTTACGTCAGATATGTCTCTATGTTATGGGTCAAAGTGACCCTAAAGGATTATTTTAGGATCAAATAAGGTTCTGAATAAGATTTTGCGATAATTTTTGGGAAAGCACACGACAAATGATTCTGGTTTGATCATAAAATGATGACCTTAATCATGACCTAGATATGAAGCTTGAAGGTTATTTGAAGGTCAAATCAAGGTATGAAATATGGAAACCATGTTTGCAACCCCATTACGTTAAAGCAAGATAGCTATGGCCCAGCCAGTCAAGGCAATTCGAATATTGTCGCAGTTTCAATTAAGATTATATTAAAAATTTTCTATATTTCTTTTAAAAAAATCTGTTCCTTTGAAAGAATTAATGTAATGCAATTATTGAAAAAAGAAAATATTAAGAATTAATCAGTCTTTTCAATGAAGCTGTGTTAGTAAAGGATCATTTTACTTCTTAAGTTGGAAAAAACATTTTTTGGAAACATTTCCTTTCCCTGTATACAGCAAGTTGTAAATTGTTTTTAGAGAACCCAAGGTATGAACTTAAATTAATAATTGATAATTTTGTTATGATTATAAGAAAACTCATTAAACTTATTTGAAACTTCACACAGATTGATTTAATTCAATGAATGTATTTTCAGAGAAAAATCTTAGCCATCTACCTGCACCACGATGCAAGTGTCTTAACGAATGTGTTCTGCACCCAATTGTTGGGGTTCGAGAGTGTCATGCAAATGTTCGAGAATAATTTTATTCTGTGGGGATGGGACATAACTTTCGAGAGCAATCGTACTAAACTACAGCAGTCGGTGAACAACTGCCTTGGCTCCACTGCAGCCATGAGTCTGCGCAACATACCCGTCGATCGTTTGCCTGCCATTGTCCTCATTATGAAAATTAGATCGACCACAGAAATTTTTAATGTAGTTAATGGTAAGTAGACATATTTATTAAACTAGAGTTGTTCTGGATATGAGATTTGTGATATTCGCGAATACGAATATGAATACAAATATATCAAGTTGACATTTGCGAATGCGAAAGCGGATATTAAATAATAACTAAAAATTAGGCATTAAAATACAGGGTGTAACTTTGAATTTGGGTCAAATTTATACAGAGGCTTCCTTTGACCTTTAGAAACATGTATCAATACTTTATTTTTTCATGTTCTGTTGTGAAAACTTATTTTTTTTAACCTTTTTTTAGTAGGTTTCATACCCCGCCTCTGGGCAAGCTAGTATAACTTCAAACTACAATGCGCTTGCACAATTGGGAACTGGGCTGTGCATTGTTGTCAAATATTATATTTTAAATGTAATAAATTGGAATTAAAAACTTTATTTAGGGGGAAAATAAAAATAAGTGTTTGAAAGTAATTTTAATAAATAATCAACAGTAACGGATCAATAGAAAATTGTACACTCTTTTCGACAACCTTCTTGCTTAGTTGTAGAAGGAAAATTTTGTTGTGTAATTTTAAGTTTGGGTGATATTTATACAGGGGCTACCTTTAGAATTAATAGTTTATTTTTTCAAATTTCGTTGTGCAAGCTTTTTCTCATCTCATTTAAAATATGCATCCATTGTATCTAACTCAGTGTAACTTAGTGTATACACTTCAATATTTAATGTGGAAAACGTACAGATAAAATTTTTAAAACAGGTGAACACAATTATTGAAATATGTATATGTCTATGATTAAATTACCGAAATATTGCAAAATTTTTATATTCAAATGTGTATCACACATAACAATCAAAGAAAATTATTTTAAAATTAGGTTTTACAGTGCATTTAATTTTGTTGCTGAAATTAAGAAACTAAAGTAAAAGTAAAATTAATTTAAATCAAGCACCATTTGTGTGTGCAGTGACTTCTGTCATTTAAATTTAAAAGTGACATTATTGGCTGATGCTGATGCAGATGTGAGGCTTTACGTTTAAAATGGTAGTGATTAAACTCCTATAATATATGTCATTATTAAATTTAAACATGTTACTTCAGCATTTTCTATCTTGTAGGAAACGTGGGTGTAAATGAACTTTTATCGAGTCTTATAGAATGTGTGGAAGTATTCACTGAACACCAACGTGTGGAGATAAATGAGGAGCAAGAACGTGCTGAGCGAGAACTTGTCAAACTAGAACAGGATTTAGCGTACCGCGAGAGTTTAGCAGCAGATAGGTAAATCAGAATATATTTTGCTGGTAAAGTGTTATTTTTTATATAACAACTAAATTGTAATTAAATGTTGATGCTTGTGGTTGTTTTCGTGTTTATTCTGCACTAACGGGAATTAAAATCCTCAAATGACGATAATTTTGTGATTTGTTCTTTATTAGTGATATTATCTGTGAAATATTGCAAACTAGATAAGATTATGTGATTGTTTAATTACTGTAGGGCTAAGGAGGAAGCGAAAAGAATGCAGGAGCAAGCCGAAACGGAAGCAAGGCAGAGGTTGGAGAGCGAAAAAGCGGAAACAGAAGCTAAAAAAGAGGCGCACCGTAAAAAAGTCGAGGCTAGTTTACCGCCAGAGCCTCCTCTGGACCAGGGGGATAACATTACTAAGATAAAGGTTAGGTTACCTAAGGGGGAGTACATTGAGAGAAGATTTCAAGCCAATACACCGCTTAAGGTAAACATTAAGGCACATAAATGTGGAGAATTTTCAAGGATATCTTTTTTTTGCAGGTGCTTTTAGACTTTTTAATAGTGAAAGGTTATCCAACTGAGGAATACAAAGTTATATCTAGTTGGCCTAGAAGAGATGTAAGTATTTTTTTATTAGATTTGGGTCAGGTTATTTTGGTTATTATCACTTCCTTATAAAAGTTTGCCTCGAGAATAGCATATTTTCTAATATATGAAAACTTTTGAATATAATTAGGAATTATATACAAGGTGTTCTGAATTGCCCATGCCAAACTTTAACTGATGAGGGAATATGATCAGAATAAAAAATGTTATATATGTATATAAACAGAAGTTGTGAATACTTTGTTTTTGAGATAGAAATTTAAAAAAATCACATTTATTTAAAAATCTCCAACATATTTTATAAGGATTGATGAAACTTGAAATATTGACCACTAATTATAGGCAAAAAATTGCCACACCTGACTTGTTAGGTTTTTATTTCTTTCATTACACACACAAAACAACGTTTTACTTTTTGGCTCGCTTTATTTCGCTCACATTCTTATAACATCATAAACATCACCCTATATTCTTCTTGTATATATTTTTTGACCTACTATCTACAAACAAAATAATTGCTTACACTTGGAGTTGATACACATATCTATCAAATGTAGACAGTAGGCGATACCATCATTAAAGATTTCCAGAATTTTGATGCTTCTGAATATTTTGAAAACTGAATAAATGTGTTTAATTTCTGTTGGCATTTCTAAGAAAAAATTTTGTGCTTTCGATTTTATTAAAATAACTAGATATTTTTTACTATAATTACTTTAATTCAAAATAAATGAAAAATAACAAAACTGTTCCGTTAAAAGAAAGTGATAGGAATATTTTATTAGAAATATGACTTTAAATACAATGTAACCATAAGAACCTAAAAAAAAATAATTGGCATAGCAATTTTAAATTGTTTTTAGGATTACTATCCCTCAAAAAATTCTACAAGTTCCTACACTAATATTTTTTTAGGCTTTTCGTAAAATGAATCATGAAACAATTTGTTCTGGAGTTATTTTCGTTTTATGTAATACTTAAAAAAATAATCAGGTACTCAAAATTGGCTTTTTTAAAAAGATGGGACATCTTTTTTCTTAAAAACACCATCCAGAATTAAATGCACTTATCTTATTTCAAAAATGTTTGTTAGTAATATTGAAAAATTTTATTACGTAAAATTAGAATTTTTGTTCTACAGAATTGAAATTTTAAAGTGTTTAAAAATCTAAGAAGCCTTGGAAATGATTGTAGTTGAAAAATTAACCAATTACTGATGTTACCGATAATTGGTAAATAATAGATTCTGCTTATAAGTTATTGTCATAATTTTAGGCCAATAAGCAGACTCCATTATTTATCAGTTCAGGGCCAGTAATTGGCACAGTTTACATCTTGAGGCATTTCCAAAGCCTCCTAAATTTTGAAATCAGAACAGAAACTTAAAAATTTAAAACTAAGTCGACCATATAAATTGATGAGATTTCAGATACTAAGATTTTAAGTAATGTTGATTAAGACTACTTAGTCAGTGTTTCAATTAAATAATTCCTAATGCCAAAAGAATCATCATAATTTTTTTAACAAGTACATATGCAAGAAAAAATAATTCAATACTGCAGCATTGCGGACCTCGAAGGTCCATAACTTATTTCACCAGATTGTTCTAGATCTATTCCTAAAGTTTCACTAAAAAAAAAAAATAAATAAATAAAACCATCCTGTATACTTCTTCAGTATTTCCTTCATTACATTTCTTGTCGTATATGCTTCAACACTTTAGGCCTAGCAGATCCATAGCTGGATTTAATCCTTTCCTCTAATTTTTTTATCTTATGTTCCTTTCCTGCAATTTTGTATATTACATTCTTCCAAATCCTTCATTACTCTATTTAATTCCAAATATTTTTTATGGCACTCTACTGTTAAAATAAAACTTTTTCCCCTTCGAGACTTTGAGACCTTATTTTCATTAGTTTCAAATCCTAATCCTTTGTTGATTTCTATTTTCTTCTTCACTATATATTAATATTACCAAATTGTCTACAAACGCTAAACAGTAATGCCTTTTGTAGTAATCCATTTCTATTTAAATTAACTTTCCTTGTTAAAATTAATGAAGTTAATGGATTATCAATTACTGGTTTCCTGTAATATCGTTTTTATATCATTCTTCTCTCCTTATTCTGTCATAAACTTGTTTGAAATCTATGAAAAGAACATAATATGTTTCTTTTTTATATGCATAACTTTCTGCTTAAATTTCTCTTTAAAGAATAAATTTGATCTATTACCGGTCTACCTTTCTGCTTTAATTAATAAATTGGTAAATTAATTTTCTTACTCAATTTATTTTTTTTTTTACTTAGCCCAAATTTTATATACCTCATTCATTTAAGCTACACCCCTATAATTTTTACACTTTTGTTTTATCGACATTTTTACAAATAAGCACATTATTTCTTTCCAAACTGTAGGTTGTTTTCATCCATATTTTTCTTACAAAGCCTTCATAAAATGGTTACAATCCACGTGACCAGTAATTTTGTTTGGAGCAGTAATTTTATTTCCTTCACGTTGACAATTAAATTTCAGTAAAATTAAAAATTATGAAAATAATAAGGTCAAGGTTACATTAAAACGCAACATTTTTTTTCACCGGCTGGTAATTGGTGTAATTTTTCCCTAGATTTTATTTAACCAATCTTTAGTTGACAATGCCAGTCGTGCAATGTTGGTTGCCTAAGCTTGGCGGTCACGTGGCTTGTAATCATTTATGGAGGCTCTATAATAAACAGTGCATCCACCTAAATTGTGCTCCATATTTATATAGTTCAGAAATTATTTTATCAATACCATTATTTTTTAGATTGATAATTTTTTCTACTTCTCTCAAGGTCAGAGGGTCTTCTACATGTTAACTTGCTTAATCTCACTTATATCATCGTTGTCTGTTATTATATTTTAGTAACTCACTAAAATTCAAAATTTCCTTGTCTTCGCTAGTAATATGTCCCTCTTTATTTTTATAGAATATGGTATTTGCCTGGTATCCTATTTTTTCATTTTTTATTCCCTCATAAAGATTTCATCTCTTCTAATAGTTTTATTAGATCAAAATACAACTTTTTAGTTCTATTCCTCATACATTAGTTAATTACATGACAAGTAAATTTTCTTGCAGTTAACCGCACTGGACACAAATCAGACTTTGAAGGAGTTGAAATTATGTCCACAAGAAACTGTGATATTAGAGGAACGATAATTTCTGTCACATTCCCTAATGAAGGGTTAGATTTTTATAACAGCATTTAAACGATGTAAAGTTATTTAATATATATTTTTAATTTCACTTAGTATTAATAATTTAAATGTAATCCATGTAATTAATAATAAATATACATTTAAAGTATACCGGTTGTTTCATTGTCCTCAAACTGTCCACGTCATAAATTTAGGTCCTTCCGTAGATCGAGGAGTCGACCAAAAAACCTTGATAAAATCACTTCTTTTGAAGGTACAGGGTTGAATTTTTAAAAATTAGGATTATTATTGTCATATACATCACACTCTCACACAGGAGGCACTGTTAAAATTTCAAGCTATTTTTGGATAAATGCATTCATTGCTAATATAATTTTTGAGAAAAATGAACAAAGTTTGTTAATGTTGCCATCTAGTAGTATTAGTACTGTTACAAATGTTACAAACTAGTCATAAATATTATTGGAGAGGAACCTAATTTGTTGAGAGAATGGGGTATATTCCAGTTATTTAAAACAATTTTCAAATCTAAATTTGCTTAAAATATTTAATGTGCACTTTATAATTTTTTGATTTTTAGGAAAAAAATTAGAGTTCTATAGTAACTATACGGACGTGTACACATGTATCAGTCAGATCATTGTTTGCTAGGAACCTTTTTTTCGTTATAGTATGTTACTTATGCAAACAAATGTTTGTTATTCTGAGAATTTATAATTATAAAAAAATGTATTTGTTTTAATTTGTACATACATTTATAAATAAACAAGTGATTGACATTAATTGTCTGCATTTATCACGATTAGGCTCATTATAACAATCTTTTACAATTTTTCTTATTAAAAAAGATGAAAAAAAATGCATATATTTATTCAGACTAGAGTCTGAAGAAACAGCCGCAGCCCGCACGCCCACCGCTCACATCCCCTCTCGTCTTCGCTGCGCGCCATCGCCAGCTTGCGAGGCACAGCTCTCATCTCTGTTTTGTTCTCGCTAAACAAATATGAGACATCTCCCCTCTGTGCTCAACCATATCCACTGAAGCTAAGCGGAGAGGAGATATGTAAATAACAAAATCCTATTGGTTGTTTCAAACACATCTCTCCTCTTGTCTCGTCTCCGCTTTGGTGGAGTCTGGGCCTAAGACAGTAAAATTGGTATTTCTAATACCATCTCTTGCAGATTGTAGAAGGAACACTGGCAGTTATTCGCTAGCATTTATGTCAAATTGACCAAAATGGTGAAAAAATATGACGTCTCGGTTTCATTTTATTGCTTGCTGAACACTTTCTATTAGTTGGGCCACTATGGTCTACTGCACATTTGCTCGGCTTTCTACGAATTGCCTAGACCAATGGTTCCCAAGATGTAGAAAGAAGTCGCAGGATATCATTACAGATTTTACAAAATATATTAAGTTAAATTTTTCTTTATGAAAATCATGAGAAATAAATGTTTTGGGAAACTAATTCCTTAAATCTTCAGTTCATTCCTTAACTCTAGTTTCTGCAGGAATAGATTAATTAATTCAATTCAACTTAGTTTTTAGAGAATTTAGATAAGTTCTGTATTTGAGAATACACATTTCTATCATTTTCCAATTCCAGGCTATTTTTTGGTTTCATTTTGACATAGGACAATGCGAGCTCTCACACATCAGCTCAAACAAGAGACTTGTTGAGAACTGAAGAGATTGAAAGGATGAGTCAGTCACTGTACAACCCTGATTTGGCACCCAATTACTTTTTTATTCCTGCACCTCAAAGTGCATGTTTGGAGGTACCTCAATCGGAATAGAAAGTAATTCAAAAATGGTTCTGGCACATGCAAAAGTATATTGATCTTCAAGGAGGATATTTTGAAAAACAACAAAGCAATATACAGGGTCTCCGCAAATTTCATCGACAACGTTTGACTGCATATTCACGACTATAAATAAATACGATTACGAAAAAAATAAAAAATGTTTAGTTTTGTAGTTACAGGCCTTCAAAGTTGTCAAAAATAAAATTAATTTAATTAATAACTTCATAACCGTTTTACCGATCGCGTTAAAATTTGGGACATTTATTTGGACTGTTATGGCATATTGTTTCTTAAAACTTTAGTCAAATCTATATACTGGGTGATAGTTTTCCCAGGTTACCTCTCCCTTTTAACGGTCAAAGCTTTTACAGTGGTCGTATTTTTTTAAAACGGGCAGCAACATTGAAAAGGTCGTTTTATTTAAAAAAAAATACTGTCTCTTGAGAAAATCGCCTAGAGGAAGCCATTCTTGAGAAAAATTGCATTATTTGCAGGTCTGCATGTTTCTGTTTGCGTAGCAGTGTCACGGATTTAAAAGTTTGAGTTAAGTAGGCAATGAAAACAAGATGTTGATTGCTGTGGCTATCAAGTAATGTCATTATTGTCGTGTTTCTTTAGGATTATCATCACTCCACAAATGCAAATTATAAGTGTTTAATTGTTTTGATACACTGGGGACACTTCATAATTTGCATGTGTAGAGTGATGAGAATCCTAAAGAAACACGACAAAAATGACATTCCCTGATAGCCACAGCAATCGACATTTTGTTTTCATCGCCTACTGAACTCAAAAGTTTCAAAAATCCTACGCAAACCGAAATGTACAGACTTGCAAATAATGCCATTTTTCTCAAGAATGGTTTTCCGTAGGCGATTTTCTCAAGAGACAATATTTTTTTAAATAAAACGACCTTTTCAATGTTGCTGCCCGTTTTAAAAAAATATGACCACTGTCAAAGTTTTGACCGCTAAAAGGAAGAGACAACCCGAGAAAACTATCACCCAGTATATCGATTCGACTAAAGTTTTCAGAAACAATAGGCCATAATAGTCCAAATAAATGTCCCAAATTTTAACGCGATTGGTAAAAGGATTAATTAAATTAGTTGTATTTTTGACAACTTTGAAGGCCTGTAATTCAAAAACCAAAAAGTTTTTATTTAACTTTTTTTTCGTAGATTGTATTTATTTATCGTCGTGAATATTCAGTCAAACGATGTCGGTGAAATTTGCGGACACCCTATATAATAAATTTCTTTCTTTTCGTTCTATATTCCTGAAATATAAAAGACAACCATCCTACCCTTCCAAATTTTGGGAGATAACTATTTGAAAATGATGAAGGCCTGGAATTGTTTGTGCACACTTGGCTCCAGTCTACAACAGAATGAAAAAACTTCCTATTGGATAGGAAAAATGTGCTTTAAAAAGGAGAAAGAGGAAAAGGGAAAAATAAGTTTTTTTTTAATACTGCAACAAATTTTTAAAAAAAGGATTATGATTAACATTTGATCTCCCCTCATATACAACACATTTTCTAAAAAAAGTCCACATTATTAATTTGTGTAGCAGTGGTATAGAAGTAAAAAGAGTGATGAAAAGTACAATATTTTATTAATTACAATGGAAGCGATAATAATTAACCTTAATATATCATGCAAATCTTATTTCACTATGACAAATCCACACACGAGAATTCGACTGAAAATCCTGCATAGAAAAACACAACTGAAACATGCCAGCTCTGAAAGCAAAGAATCTTATCACATTATGAATAAAAAAGCATGTGGCGAATACTAAAAATTTGTCATTTTCTCTCTTCTGTTCCACTTAACGCTAATATATTCAATAAACTACAGAGTCCGGCACACAGATAACATTTTAAATGTCTTACCTCTAATATAACAAAATAGATAAATATATTTCTCAATATCTCATCTTTAACTTAAAGGATATGTCTTCAAACAAAAAAAAATTACCGACAATAACTTGGGTATCGCGTAAAGAACATGACACTTGTATAATTAAATATAAGGTATAAAGGGGGGGAACATAGGACTGAGATTCCACGTGAAATAACGAGACGCGATATACTCCTTAGATTTCCGGGAATCTCCAATAGGAATGTACGTGCTGCTATTCTCTACATATATCCTCTAGTCAAGCAATTGCTTTGGCTTCAGGCAGGAAGGCCTCCCAGTATTTGACGAGCTTTAAATAAAATAGAAAAATTATATTAATAAAACTGACAAATGCTACGTATCTACATAATAATATATACATGGTAGCCCAATTGAAAAGTCCACCTGAAATATTTTCATTGCAACAGGTTTTTCCGGAAAACCCCAAAATGGGGTGGCAACCCCTTCAATAATCTTAAATGGCACCGGGGTTAAGTGGCACATCATTTTAAAGGTATTTCAATTCTCTTTACAAACATGCTGACATTTTTTTGTTCTGCCTGAAAATTAATGTAAAAAAACTGTTGGAAGTATCGGTGAAATAAATCGAAAAATAGACTTGAAATAGTAATAAAAAAACTCATCCGATAATGAAACTGTGAAAAATGAGATTTATCATCAAAGTCTTCGTAAGGTCATAGGAATTTTACATGTAGTTTTGTTCCAATTTTACATCAATCAGAATTGTCTAGGTAGTGAAATCCATCGATATGTTATTATTCGCTATTTTGAAGCAAACGATTCAAATTATCATGGTTTACACCACTGCAGAGGGAATTGAAATTCTCACTATCTATTTTCGAAATAATGAAATGGCCCGGGTAGCTGCAAGAGTTTCTGGAGATTCTTGAAAACGACGATGAGATCCCAGAGAATGAAGTATTTTTTTAACAGGATGGCGCTCCGCCACACTATGCAGCTGCTGTACCTGACTTTTTGAATCAACATTTTCCCGAGCACTAGATTGGTAGAAGGGGTTTCATTGAATGGCCCCCAAGATCGCCTGATTTAACACCATTGGACTTTTACTTATGGGATCATTTAAAAATTGTTATTTATAAAACGAAACCTACCTCTTTAGAAGATCTTCGCCACCGAATAGTGGCAGCATGTGATGAAATAAACCCTGAAATGTAACAAAATGTTCGGGAATATGTTGAACAAAGGTTTTATTACTGTATGGAAGTAAATGAGTCGCAATTTAAACATTTAATTAATTAAAATTGTGTTTGAAAACATTTTTTTCGATTTATTTCAATGACACTTCAAACAGGTTTTTTACATTCATTTTAAAGCAGAACAAAAACATTTCAGCACGTTTGTAAAGAGAATTGAAATACCTTTAAAATGATGTGCCACTTAACCCCCCGTGCCATTTAAGATTCTTGAAGGGGTTACCACCCCGTTTAGGGGGATGACCCTGCATTCATGAATTTATGATCAAAAGATGTCCCCCTTGAACACAAAATCGACCTGTTTCGGGGTTTTCCAAAAAAACCTGTTGCATTGAAAATATTTCAGGTGGACTGTTTTAATTGGGCCACCCTGTATAGCCCCTATTAGTTTATTCTGTAACTTTGCTGTGACCAAGGACATTTAAATAAAGGGGACTTATTTATTTACATTTCTGGATGATGCCTAATCTATTCACAGTCTAATTGTATCATATGTCTCACTGAAAGTTTGACTCAGTATTCTAAAAGTGAAATGTGAACGTTTTTAGGATGCCTGGGGATGGTGCAACAAGAAAGAAATGGTTACAGTTATTGGGATTCCAAGAATTTATAAAAATATTATTATATATTATAAAAATACTGAGTAGCTGTTGAAATATATTGACTTAGGACTATAAAATATTTTATCTTGACCCAAAACGTACGACATTGGAGATGTAATCGCGCGCATCAGTTGGATGAAAATAAAGCCCTTTGCTTTCCCCTTGCTTTCACCCAACATATGAAACAGACTGTGACATACCCAGTCCCCTTCATTTAAATGTCCTTGGCTGTGACAAATAGTGCCTTCATAAAAGCCCAAGTCCCACATGACACATGATCAAATTTGTTTTGGCACTCAGTAAATAAGTTAAATGAATACTTTAAGGTTATTTTTCATTTGTTACATTCTTATTTCTTGTAGATTTGTGGAAAAATGCCGTTTACACCGAAACAAGAGGAACATTTATTTTGATGGCACATTTTTGCTGTGGTACATGATACCCAGATGGAACTTGGTCTTATTCTTTGCAATCCTGTGTGAAACAATTTGCTGAAACCTTTTCTGCTGCTAATATTTTATATGAGTTTCAAAACTACAAATTAATCCTTATTAAAAGATATGAGGAGAAATATTGCATTTGCAAGGGCAAGTCGAAGGGTAGTTGTTGAAGATATTCGACAACGAATGGTGCGAAGTCCTAAGAAATCTGTTATCTACTCAAACAGATGCTGTGATAAACTTAATATAGTTTGAATTATGAAATTTTTTTAACGTTTAACATAAAATCTTGCAGCTCTATTCTGGTTAATTTTGTTTTTACAAGAAATAATTATACATATTATTATATTGATAATATGTCCGCAGATGTATCAGTTGCAACATGTCACAAGGCATTAAAGAAGCAGCTGCATATGCATCCCTATAAGGTTTCTGATCTGCAAGAGTTGCGTCCTGATCACTACCAACGAGTATAACATTGTCAACGGTTTAATGAACATTTAAACCACGATAATTTATTAGAACTGTTTTTTCTCGATGAAACATGGATATATTTATCAGGTTATGTAAATGGTCAGAACTATAGAACTTGGGCTGCAGAAAATCCACACAATTTTATTGAAACATCATTACTTCCCCAGAAGATAGGTATCTGGGTAGCAGATTCAAGAAAACGGATAATAGGCGCAATTTCTTTCCGAGAAGCAATAAATGATGAATAAAACTGTAACATTATACAACAAGCTATGGAATTAATGTATGATTAACTGCAACATGGGTATTTTCAACCAGATGGAGCTACAGCATATGCTGCAGCTGAAATAAAATATCTTCAGGAATTTTATGGTAATAGATTGATTACTAGGGGTTTGTGACCTACTCGAAGGTCTGATCTCACATCTTTAGATTTTTATCTGGTTGGCCATATCAAAAATAAAATATTTAAACATCCACTCCTTACACTTGAAGATCTGGAAGAGCAACTGAACATGAAATAAACATTATACAATCAAATAAACTTGAACGCGTTTTTGAGTACATTTGTGTATGAAAAACGAAAGTGATCATTTTGAATATCTATTACAATTTTGATTAATATAATAAGTTTTTGTAGCTGCGTAAAAAACTGTGTTTATGTTAGTGTTGTAAGGTAAATTAATTTACCTACTAGAAAGGTCAACAAACTCTGCTGATGCGGAGTTGACCTTTCTCTTGGGCCTTCGGTTCTCGGATCGCGCTGCCCTCGCCGATTGGTAAATGTAACATTTTTTGGAACGCCCTGTATATAAAAGTCATCTACATCGTAACTTCATAATTATCCCTGAACCGTTCGAAGTTCAACGCAATATTTTTAGACATAAAAACCTATTTGAAAAGTTTATTTTCTTCTCATGGAAAGATTTAAAAAGAAAACTCCATTATGAAGGTAAAATACTGCAATAAGTAAAAACAAATCATCGGGATTTTACCACTAAGCCATCACTGCCTATACACAGAGTTTGTCCGTATTAGTATTTGAATTCCTGTTCATAGCCGAAGTTAACAAACATTTTCGTAATAAAAATTTCATTTCTCTGAGGTAAAATCGTCCGTGAAGGACTCGGAACGGTATAAAACATAAAAATAATCGCTCATCGCCGTAATGGCGTCATAAGGAACGTCGGATTCGGAAAATTCAGTTTTGACAATTCTGACATTTCTACCGCGGTGACAGTTTGTATTAAAACATTCTTAATCTTGTCTTATATTTTGTTACATTTGACCTAATGAAAGTTGAGGGCAATATAGAAGAGAGAGAACGACAAGGCATCAGAAAAGCATCCCGGTAGCGGAAAGGGGACGTCGTCGTTGCAGGAGCTGCTTGTATGCAAAGAGAAAAGTTTCGACTCACCCTCGGAACAAAGCGCAGGTGCCGGCAGTATCCATAAAGAAAAATATGATGCCGGAAAATTGCGTTTTGGGTGAAATAATCTGGGCTTTACGAAAATATTGGGTATCCACGAGAGATGCAAGATGCAGAACCTTCTTAAAAAGCAAATTTCAGCGTTAAAAAGTAAAAAACATGCCGTCAAAATACGCCTAAGCTACGAAGAAAGGAGAAAACTCGCGTGTAAAAGCTGAGCGAACCCTTGATCAGTCTTCGGAAAAAAGCCTTTAGTATTTTAAATCGACCCTCAAAATGTCCATCAGTGGGGGTTTGCGTCGGGTTCTGTCTCTCTCCCACAGCGAAAATTTGCATTTTTGGCCGTGGATCCCCCGGAAAAGTGAAATTTCACTCGGAAGACGTTAAGAAATAGCCTTCAAAATATGCCAAACGGATAAAGGAAGGGTCCCACCACTGTGCGGCTTGCGAAGAAAGCCTTAGTGTATGCAAAATACTTCTTTTTCGAGATTGCTGCAGGAGTGAAAACCACCTGCAGCAATTAATATGTCGGAATAATTTATATTTAAATATAGAAAAAAACATTATAAAACACTGAAATTTTTGTATTTTATTAACACGTTTCATGATCTTTAAATGACGGTGGGCCACAAAAGAGCCTATATTTTTTAAAGGACAGACTTTTTCAATCAAAAAATACTTTTTCAATATAGAACGAGATAAAAATTGAAAGTATCTTAGAAGAGTATGATTATTTCGTAAGAATTATTTTTCTATTGAAAATAGACACATTTTGCAGATTAAAGTTCAATGTACTCGACTGGACTATCGTCTGCCTTTAGGGAATTTTGTATTAATCATTGCCTCCAATGTAAGTTTGATTGACTAAAAGTCGCAGTCACGTGGAACTTGGGCATTTATGAAGGCATTGTATGCAAAATTATAAATTTATTAAAAACTCACTTGAGCTTGGTGATCCAGATGATTTTCTAAATATTTAATGAACATGACCTTAAAATCTTGTATCCTGCACTTCTCGAAACGGTCCATTTCCTTCTTTATCATCTGTGAAATTTTATCAAAATTCTCCTGGCCTCTCTCAACTTTTGATTCCCACTAGGAAAAAAAAAACAAACCTTACACCTATACCAAACTAACCATTCACCCATTTACCTCGACAACTTCTGCATTGGCCTGATCCAACTTCTCGATTCTATTGGTCAGTTCCAACTTGGCCTTGGCCTCACGCTTCTTGGCCAGCATCTGCTGGGAGTGCTGCCAGTGCTGGAATAGCTTAGTACGTTCGTGGAATGCATCCCGCACAGACCCCAGTAATCCTAAGTAGTCCTTCAGCAGCTCGCACAGAATGAAGAAGTCAGTGTTGGCTTGTTCCAGATGTAAAGCCTCCACCTGAAAAGTAGAAATGAAAATTCACAACTTAGAATAATTGTTAAAGGAATGATAATAGCTGTCGTCATAAGTCTTAGAACGAGTACAAGTATTCAAGAACCTTTTCTTCCGTGTCGGCTAATTGGGATAACGCCCTTGAGAGGGAGTTGTGGTCTTCACAAGCACTTAGCAACGCAGCAGATCTTGATACGCCAATGGTCAGGTGAGCCAGTTCTTTTCTGTAACTAACCATGGCCTCTACACTTGCATGTAGTTTCCTGAGTTGAGTTTCTAAACCCTCGACATGTGCTAGTTTCTCCTCAAACCACTAAAAAATTGATGTGAAATATGTATTTTTTTTAATATATGGTGTCTGCAGTATAAAATAGTACTGATTAATATAACAAAAAAAATGTATACAGCATTGATCTTAAACAACCATTTTCAAGAAAGAAATTGTATATGGAAACTTGCGAAGTACAACATTAATATTTATTTACAAAATAAAAAAACTGTTTGCTATTAAGTGTAAAAAAATAATTATAATATTGTTTGTTGAAATAAATTATTTCTCAAATAAACTCCTCTTCAAAATTAACGCACCATTATAAATTTACCGAAATTTTATTCGTAACCTGGAGTCCGATGTCAATGATTTTTTTTGCATTGTAGGTTTATTTCTTGACAATGTCACTATACTTCTTGTTTTTCATAAAACGTTAATTTTCGGTTTATACCAGGCGTAATAAAGTGTTTTTTTTTTCGTAAATTTGTAACACCCTGTAGGGTATACCAGTAACTCTAACATATCGCACTTCAAATCAAATTGTAGCCCAATCTTTCCTTAACATTTTGTTTTTTTATTCACTTTATTATCTCTATTATTAAAAGAGATATGCCGCCTTTTAGCTCAATGTGTTTTTATTCATCTTGCTATCGCACACAGTCGTATAAATCAAGTTACCTTATTATTGACCGATTTACTGCAATATTATAACAAATCGTAGATGGCTTATGTCATGATGGATTAAAGCTTGAAAGTTTCAAAACCTCTTCTGGTAATGAAAAATCAGAAGTCTTTGTTAATATCGAAAGATAAGTTAAGTTAAAACCCTCAAAATTTAGAAACATGAATCGATCACGTAATTTAACGAATGAGTGTGTAAGAGCATTAACTTTAGTAGAAGGACGAAGTATGCGTTATGTGGCCAATCTGTTAGATGTTAACCATTCCACAATTAGTCATATGATTAGAAGATATAGGGAAACAGGATTGTACTCTAGAAGACAAGGGCAGGGAAGAAAGAAATTGACGAGTCCAAGGGATGAGCGTCAAATTGTTTTGACAAACAGAAAAAGCACAAGTAAGGAGGTTAGCAATGAACTTCAAAATGTAAGAAATGTTATGATTTCTGCTCTGACTGTCAGAAGACGTTTAAAGGAAGCAGGATTAACTAGTAGGATGCCTGCAGTTAGACCACTGCTTACTGTAGCACATAAAGTAGCCCGATTAAGATTGGCTAGAAATAATGCAAATTGACGACGACTGGAAACAAGTTTTGTTTTCCGATGAGACCAGGGTAAGCTTGAAATCTTCAGATGGTCGTGAATGGGTATGGCGAAGACCTGGAGAAAGATCTGCTACTTGTAACATCGTGTCGAAGGAACCATTTAGTGGTGGGTCTAGAATGTTTTGGGGAGATATTTGCTATAATGCCCATACAGAGTTACTACCAATTCGCCCAAGGTCAATGAATGCTCAATTTTACTTGGAAAATATTGTTCAAGATCACGTAATGCCTTTTGTGCCATTTATAGGGGATCGGTTTATTTTCATGCAATGAACCTCACATTGCACGGCCGGTTTTGGAATACTTAAATCAGGTCAATATTCAGGTGATGGACTGGCCACCGCGGAGCCCGGACATGAATCCTATAGAGCATCTTTGGGATGCTCTAAAAAAATCTGTTAGATGTCATTTACCCGCATTGCAGAATCTATTCCATGCGGTGGTGGGGGAAGCAGGGAGCGGAGAACTCTGGCTCGAGCGTACTTTTGATCGTTACGGGGGACTTTCAAGGGCATTTTTAGCATATTTCCCATCACCCAGGCGAAAATCTGAGATATACAAATTGGAGATTTTGTGGCACACTTTCAGATGTCGTTTTCAGTATTTAAATCGGATCATTTTTGATAAATCGCCACACTGTGCAAAAAATACCCCAATTTGTTTATAATAAGTTCTTTCCAAATACCAGTAATATTACTGTTCGTTACTGATAATATTATTAGTAGTAATTGAAAAATACGCATGCGCCAAGACTATTAGTAAAATTATCGTTGGTTCTAAAACTTATGGTTGGAAAGCCTTTCTGAACTAGTAGTTCCAGAGGCAACCGTAGTTTGTACTGACAGATTACATGTAGCATGCAACCTAACCTAAAAATAAAATAATCTGCTTCACAAAACATAGGAGTCTGATAGAAATGCGTAAATGGATTTTGATACCTCAGACTCAAGTGATGAAGATGTCTTAATTGTGGGAAATCCGTTAACACGAAACGAGGGATATTTGGGTAAGTAACTATTTACAAATTATAGGAAAAATTTTCAATTACCTAACACTTAAAATTGTATTTATCACTTATGTGTTTTGATGTTTCAGAAGAAACTGTCCCATTATTTTCTGAAGAGGAATTTTTCAGTCGCTTTCATATATCAAAACATGTGGCTCAACAGCTTGCTGTGCAATATGAAAATAGTGTTCAATATAAAAACCACATTGGTCAGTTTGGTCTTATTTCTCCATATAATCAAGTAAGAAAAGAATTTATGAGGACATATTATTTTCACTTTATTTTAAACAGTTATTGTTACTAGGTATATATTTGATATAAAGCAGGCTTGGTGCACATTCAAGTTTGTTAATTTTGCAAATTTATTTCTCAAGAACTTTTTAAAATGACTAAGTTTATAAAATCAATAAAGAAAAAAATAATTGAGTAATATTAACAAAACATGAATCACCTTACAATTATAATGCATATGTATTTATAATGCTCATATCTTTACAGATTTTTATATTTTTATGGTATATTGGACACCAAACAGCTGGTTTTATTGATGTTTGTGATCGCTTCAATATAGCGCTGGCATCTTTGGAAAGAATTATAAGAAAAGTAATAATATTTTTAAGTAATCTCTACCCCCTAATAATTACTTGGCCAACCGATGAAGAAAAAACAGAAATTGAAACAATGTTTAGGGGCACCGGATTTCCAAACATTATAGGTGCAATTGATGGAAGTCACATCAAAATAGATAAACCCAAGGAAGATCCAGAATCTTACATAAATAGAAAAGGCTACTATTCGGTTCAAGTAAGTACATGCTACCATTTTTTGTTTAATTTGAAATTATATTAGTAATTAATTAGAATTTAGGTGCAAGTTGTGTGTGATAAAAATTGCCAAATTAGGGATGTCTTTGTTGGATACCCTGGTTCTGTACATGATAGTGGAGTATTCCGTAATTCGCCTCTATATCAAACATTAGAGGAAAAATGTGGGCGCTATTTCATACTTGGGGACAGTGGATATCCTTTGAAGGCAAACTTATTAATCCCTTTTAAAGACCATGGTCAACTCAGTGCAAGGCAAATGAATTACAATGTACAACTTGCTAAAAATCGTTATGTACTTGAACATTGCTTTGGGATATTAAAGCAAAAATTTCGGCAGTTGTATCACATCAAGTTACAAAAAATTGAATATATCGTACATCTAATTAGAGCAGCATGTGTATTGCATAATGTAGCACTTAAGGATAATTTTATTATGGAAGATAATGCTGAATTTGTGGAAAATAATGCTGAAATTAAATTTAATTGAAAATGATGAAGTTGAATTAGACGGAGATAGGAATGCACAAAGAATAAGAATGAATATTGTAAACAATTTATTTTAAATAAATTTTTATTTTTTTACAGTTGTTTATGAACATATGAATCTTAACCTAAAATAAAGTTTAACAAATTTAAATAACAAAAAAAATATAATCACAACCATCATTGCATTTTAATCTTATTCAAAATTGAATTTTTTCTTTTTTCAATTCTATTTCTCTCTCTTAAAATACAATTTCTTTCTGCTTACAATTTCAAAAACTCCTTATTTGATTGCTGAAGAAGTGTCAATCTTTGTCTTTGGTAATTCAACCTGTCTTCTCTTATTCTTTCTAAGACCGTTTTCTGTTTTCGAACCTCGGTTTTCCGTTTTTCTTCACCCCTTGAAGTGGTGGGCTTTTTACATAGATCTAATAGCGTTTTAGAAATTGTTGGTTTGTCATTTTCTATTATTTCTGCTTCTGCTGTATTTTCGTTATTGCTTTTTTCAGGTAAATGTTCAGTCTCTGTGGATAATAGTAAGATAGGATTTATCTTTCTTTTCTTCTCAAACACATTTACCATTTCATCAGAAAATTCAAATATTTTTCTACCCCTTCCAGTGGAGTTATTATTTTCTACCCAGTTTTTATAATTTCGATCCAACACTTTCCACCGATTTTCACGATTCTTTGGTAAAATCTGACGTCCTAATGCATTTGATAACTCTGTGGCTATTTTTTCCCACATAGCTTTGAAGTTTCGAATTGCCATTGTACCAACTTTGGTTTTATATTTTTATAAAGATCAGTTAACATCCTGATATTGTTGGCAGTCCAAAAAAATGCCTGATTTTCTGCGTCCATTTGGACTATTTGGAGGACATCTGTATTATTTTCCTCATCCTCAGTTACCAAAAGTATTTGAAACTCTGTCAACCAAACAATAATTTAATTACAAAACATATTAATAAAATTAATTCATTAATGAACTTTTAAGTATAAATAAAAACTATTGTATAATTACCTCCTTCTGAATTCATTTTACTACCTATTTTATAGGTTATATAGGTTTATAGGTTAAATGAAATGCCCGCTTCATAAAAATATAAAACACATCTGCGCTTGCGTGGAACTATTGGTACTTGCTTCCAGGCAAGAACTGTTTGAATGGTAATTATTAATAATATCTCGGTTCTCAAGTGAAGTTGGAAAAGCGGACTACTAGTAATTTGTAGTTCTGAACTAGCAATTCATTCATGTTGACAGTTGACAATTTCCTACTGCGCATGTCTAATGGTCCGATTACTGGAAATTACTGCTATTTACCTTAGGCAATTGTGCAGAAACTATGCATACAGAAATCATCTTGCGCACGATTATTCTTCTTCTTCTCTTCCTAGTGGTTGGTCCTTATAAGTCCCATAGCACCGCGGCCTAATTAGGCCTATTGTGCGTCCCACTACTAGTCCTATTCAGCAAGTAGATTTGGCCTTTTTACAAAGTCCAAAAGCTTCCTTGCTGACACTTCTCTCAGTTCCTTGGGTTCCAAATAAGGTCTCCCCAGGAGCGCCATTCTGTTACGTGCAAATCCCGGGCACTCGCCCAGGATATGCAGAGAAGTTTCATCCGCCGATTCACATCCTCGGCAGACCGGACTGTCTACAAGCTTTAGCTTATGTAAATTAAACTACATACATACATTCCGCAAGATTGTTCTTCCAGCTTCAAATTTGACAGTTATGAATTTTTGAAAAAAAGGCCTATTAAAATGAACAGATTGCGTCGCACAAAAACCATTTTATAGATTTTTTTATTCTCTACGAAAGTCCTATTGAGAGTAAGACGATTCCATCATTATTTTCAAGATATTATAAAAAAAAAACAAAAAAATGTTATTATTTTCAAGTTTTTATTGCTTAAAAAAAAATTGTTCACGACTTTGCTGGGAAAATCACTTGGGTTTTCATTTACTAAGTAATTTTCAAAAGGAAATATAAGAAATTTGCTGTAATATATAAGTGTAAAAACATCCTTTTTTTTCGCTCTATTGGTTGGCCTATGATGTTGAGATGTTGAAATTCACAAATTACACACAGTACTTCAAACAAATAGTAACAAAACCTTTTTATTAAAAACATGGAATTATTTTAAAAAATATTTCAAATTTGTCAGACTAGTAGTTTTTTTATTTATATTTTATGTACATTTTTAAAATGGCGCAAATAATTATTTTACTTGCAATTTTGCGAATATTATAGTTAATATTTCGTAAATCATGCAAAAATAATATTAATCCTTTTAAACACTTAATTAATTTTTTTCGTTGGCGCTTCATCTGTATTGATAAAAAAATATAATAACACTAAATTAATATATCGCAATGCCATACAAAAGCAATGTTTTTACAAAATTATTTTTCATTGCAATTTAAGGCAACACTGCTAAGCGCACACATACAATTGAGTTCAAGAGCTCTCCAGTGGCGGCCAATAATAAATTCACTAAAAAAATCCTTTATTTTCTTAAAAACCTACAGTTTTGATGTAATTTAACATTGTCTAGTAATTACTATTTGAAACTGAATTTTATGGGTCAATAGTATTATACTGTTGCACTTTGCAACAAATTTGAAGATTACTTCATTATCAGTATTATCAATTTAAACACTGTAACTCACACTTTGGACCAAGGTACATTTGGCTCAATTATCATATTCTGGCTTCCATAAGTATTTGAAAAAAAAACATGCACATCTAAATTTATCATCTTTTTTTTTTTTAATTGATACAATAGGTGATACTTACTGGGTCTGTTTCATCCATCTTGTAAGTGATTTTATTAACTGTTTCTCCAACTTTGTTGAACAGTCTCATAACTCCAGCACTACTCAATGCTGACGTACTTGTAGCTTTGGGTAGTTCAATATCTAACGAAAGAAATATTATATGAAGGTATTGAAACAGCAATAAGAATAACTTTAAAAAAATACAGCATTTATATCGGTTGTGGCAAAATTCACACAAGATTTCAATTTCGTGTCATTTGTGCAGTAAAGTGTTGGTACCGAAAGAAAAAAAAACAGTGTGAAAGCTGACAGTTCAGGGTTATTAAAAACGGAACACTACATAAAAGAATGTGTTTTCATTGTTGAGCAATATTATAAAAATAATGAAATGCAATATGGTCAGCACAAGTGAATTAACTTCATCAATTGTGAAGAGATTAATTGAAAACTTCAGAAAGACTGGATCAATCAGTGATCTTAAACACTCTGGACGTCCTTCAACAAGTTGTTCAACACAAAACATTGAAGCAGTTCGTGAGAGTGTTGCTGAGAGTCCAGGAACATCAATTCGGCACCCTAATCAAGAATTGAACATTTTGTGACACTCTCTACAGCATATTTACACGAAAGATTTGCATCTTCATGCTTACCAAGTTCAATTGACTCAAGAAACTACCGACCACGCAGACCGAAGTTCGTTGAATGCATTATGGAACAAGTAGATGCTGATTTTTCAAACAAAATCACCTTCAGCGATAAGGCTCATTTTCATCTTGATGAGTTCGTTAATAGACAAACTTGTTGCATTTGGGGTTCATAAAATCCATGAGTAAGCATTGAAAAGTAAATGTATCCACAAAGTGTCACTGTTTGGTGTGGATGTAGATGACACGTAATTTCAACAAGACGGTGCCACAACAAGCCCGACAGCCCGACAAACAATTCAATTACTGTATGAATCATTTCCTGGTCGTGTAATTTCCTGTTTCAGTGATCATAAATGGCTGCACAGGTCATGCAATTTAACGCAGTTGACAATTTTTCCTTGAGGTTTTTTGAAGTCTAAGTTTTATGTAACAAGGCAACAAGCCCATGACCACTCACACCTTGAAGGAGGAAATTGAGTGCTGTATCAACGAAATTTAGCCATATTTATGCAAAATGCTCATAGAAAACTTTGACAAGAGTATGTATGTGCTAGCAGAGCCGTGGAGGCCATTTACCCGATATGCTATTCCATAAATAACCCTATAGTGTATACTTTCTGAATCAATAAAAAAATTTGCATTTTTAAATTCATAGTGCATGTTTTCTGTCAAAATTACTTCTTGCTTGAATTTTTGTTTGTTTATTGAGTTGGAAGTGTGTTGGAACGTAAAAATCTGTTCTTAAATAAAAATAATAATAATTCTATGCACATGTACACATTTACACACATTTATAAATTTTAATAATATGAAAATAATGGAAATTAAAACATTTTAATAACTAATCAAATAAATAATGTTCCTTTTCATAAAGCATTATTTAAACATATTTTAAATATGAATTATTATTCTTCTGGTATTAAAAATAATTTCAAAAATAATAAAATATTTCAAAATTTGAAGGTCAGTTTTTCCACCTACTAACAAATTTATTTGCCAATTAAATCAATATCTGTCTCATAAAAATTAAATGCAGTAGAAACACATATTTAATTGACATATAAATTTATTCGACAGTTGTAAAAAGAGCTTTTTAATTGATGATTTATTTATTACATGGATTTTCATAACTTTAAAAAATGTTCAGAATAATTTTTCCAAAAAAATACCCGTCTTATTTTCTCAGAATGCAAAAGGTAATAGATAACCAATTATCTGTTGCTATGTTATACCTATCAGTTTCAAGGAATTCAAATGGCCATATCTCTATGTAAATAATTTGTCAGCAAAAATTAATCTCATATACCTTTGTTATATTTGAAATAAATAAATTTACCTGATTCAAGGAATTCTCTAAAATCTGGGTCTAAAACTAGAACCGGGTGTTGAGCAGTACGTTTCAAATATCTTTCAAGAGATGCTCGCCTCCTTTCTATGAAATCGTTCCCATTTGCTGCATTGCCCTCCGGTTGCGAGGATATCTTGACTTTGGTCATTCCTTTAATAGTGAGCATGCATGTTATTAATGAATCTTTAAAAAAAAAGATATGAAAAATTTAATAAAGAAGCTAAATTTACACTAAATACTTATTGGAAACACCTAGAAATATGAAGATTTTTTATAAAATTGTACTACCAAATTTTGTGAATAATCTTATAATTAGTTGCCTTTAATTTGTAGTATGTACCATAGGCGCCGACTTTTAAAACTTTTGTCGGGTGCCGGTTGCCTTATAAGCATTTTTTTGCCAGATAACATTAAAAAGCAAGAGAAATGAGTCGTCATTTGAAATAACATGCGGTAAAAGATATAAAATACGTATTTCTCCGAATTAGATTTTATGAAAAACTTTTTAAAAAATATATCAAAATTAATTAAACTTGTCAAAATAAATAAACTTTATTACTGTTTCGATAAAAATTTCAAAAATTTAACAATCTTAATAAATTTAACAAAAATAAACTTCTATGGAATAACAAGCGAAAATATAAATATATGTACTATGTAGACGTAAAAGTAGGTAGCACAGAAATATACTATTCTAACAAAACTGATAATAATTCTTGCGGGTACCCGACAAATCCTTTTGTCGGGTGCTTGAGCACCCGAGAAGTCGGCGCCTATGGTATGTACCAATAAAAAATAAATTTTATAAGTCTTAAAATTATGGAAAAAATCAATACACATTAAGCATTTTAATTTTTAAAATATCTTTCACGTAAGAGTTTTAACATATTTTAAATAATTAAATATTTTAATTGAAACAACATAATTACTATGCTAATTTTATAATTTAGATATGAGCACAATGTAAAATACATAACATTAACTTTTAAATGTATCAAACAAAATTATATTTGTCAGTACTTTCCATAGAAAGTTAAATATTAAAACAGTTGTCAATTAAGGAAATTATTACAGAGTTCATGCAAAAAGTCAAGAGTAGTGCAAAAAATAAACTGACTGTGCAAAAATGTCATGTTTTATTTTATTTCTGTAGGCCAAGGTACTGTGCCTAACAGATAAGATAGAACTGTAACTTATGGCCATAAAAATATTAACAAACATACAGTGAAGAGAATAACGTGGGGAAAATACAGTGAGACAGTTCTGGAATATTTGTGTAATCTGTAACCGTTTAACATCTGGCTCGTTACACAAACAAAAATAAGTGATAGTAGCTAAATTGTTTATGACAGTAATCAGTATTGTTCTTAGTAAAAGCAATAAATATCTATACTACATACATTAATTTAAACTTAACAAAACCACAGGGTTGTCACAAAATCATATCAATTTGAATATAGATTTAGTATAAAATTAAATTAGTTTCATCAAAGAAACTTTTGTACCTATTTATATATTGATCTTCAAAAATGCAAATATCAAAATTATTGCTTACCTAATACACTTTTTTCTGGAGCAGGAGGAATGATTCGACCCACTTTTAAATATTTCTCTGTGAGTTTATCGTGTAATCCAAGAAAATCACTAAATCTCCTTGTTACTGAAAAATCTCTCCTCTTAAATACTGGCATATTTGTCTTTGTAGTTACCCTATATGCCATATAGGCACCCATACCCTCTCCGACTTTTTGAGGTTCCGTAATGCTGATTTCTAAGAATTCATCACCACTGTCTGCTTCCACCTATGAAGTTGTATTAGATCATTTAAATAAATCATAAAATTAGCATTCTTGTACCTGTTCCATACTAGTAGGTAATGCAGAATCATTACTGATAGGAATATTCTCCATTTCACCTTTCAATTCCTTTGATTTTTTTCTTGGTAAAGAAGAAATCCCATTGGTGGTTTCATTTTCGGGAATTACATCGAAATGGGATGTATCCTAGAAATATTAACTGATTTTGTTACACATGTAAACAATAAAAATTTCCATAAACAAAGCCAAAAAATGGAAATACAATAAAAACTGTTGATAATCGATTTTTTACCTGATGAGCTGATACGAAAAGATCATCCTCTTCTTTTTCCACCCTATCGATATCAACATTTTCGAATAAAGGGGGAGGTTCTATCTGATCAGCCATTTTCCGGCACTAGCAGGAATTGATTTGACAAAAGTTGATGACAAGCTGGAAACTCGAGACAAGACAACGTTGTCAAACCCTTGAGGTGCTCACATAAGAACGAGTTATTTGTAACACTTGCATTTGCTCACAATTTAGTTAAGCTTTGGCGATTAGCGTCTAGAGGGCATCTCGGATAGCACAAACGTAAAATCCCTGCGCCATTATTCCATGGCTAGAAATTGGCCTCAATGATTTGGGATCGAGGGGGATTATCCCTCTTTATCCTGCCTCATCTCGTGTAGGCCTGGACAGCCTTCGTAGGTGGGCCCCATCCGTCGTCTACCCCGACCGCAAATGCGGCCGGTGTAGGCGCTTTGTGGGACCTCCTTTTGTCCTGGCTGGGCCCCGCCGGCTAGGGCCCTTTCTTCTGGCGCTCTTCTTGCTTCGCCGGCTCGTCTGTGTAAACCCCGGGGGTAGTGTCATGTTTATGTGTGGTATGGTTGGGTAGGGTAGTGCGGCTATGCAGCCTGGGATGCGCTTTGCTAAGG